CCCCTGTGGGTTTCTGAGGCCGAAGATCATTAGGGGAACAGATGGCCCGTGTGACCCCCTTGGCGCAGCTGGTGGGCTCCCATGGCTGGCCTCAAGGTGAGCAGCCAGCATGGGAGTCACTGCACGTCAGGTGTGTGCTCTGGCGGTGTTCTTTCACAGTGAGGACCTTTCCTTACCAGTGATCGCACTCCCCGGGTCAGAGCTTTCAAAGTGGTAACAGAGCCCATAACATCTCCAAACTCACAACCAGGGAGGAGAACTGCCCCCTTGTGTGGTCTGAGGCTGTTAACTCTTGATGAGAGTCGAGAGCCTCCTCTTTCTTCCACGGAGTGGCTGGTAGTTTTGAACCGCTGATCTTGTGGTGAGCAGTGTGGCGTGTAACTACACCACCGGGGCTCCTGAATGGAGCTAACGGGACACCAGAACCCGTGAGAGCGGGAACTCCATGGGATGGCCCAGTTTTTCTGGCAGGTGTTCCTGTGTGGACTCCCTCACAGGGGCTGCTTGGAGGGCAGGTGAGAAGGTGGTGTATACACGGGTTCAGCTTGTGCTTGTCATGTAACACATGCAGCCTTGTGTGAGTGTAGGCGGTAGAAAACCAAGTGCCCTCAGGTCCAATCTTGAGCCCGGGCTCTGTGGGAGAAACACAGCTCAACCGTTTAAATAAGAATCACAAGTCAAACCTCTTGTCCCTGAGTGTTTTCTAAACCTACCGGGTGTGTGCGTGCGTGCGTCCAACGGCATCGCCCCAAGCCAGGAGATCAGAGTCCCTTTCTTTTCCAGGAGATTGTGCATCCCTCCCCACCGGGCTCCCACCCGACCCTGACCCCAGCACCGGCCTGGCCGCCCTGCTCCCTGCCCTTACACATTGCAGTTCCTCTCTTGCTGCCTGACTGCAGAGCCTTGTCCTCAGCTGGAAAGGGCTCCAGCTTTCGGGGTGTGGGAGAGGAATGTCCTGGGACAGGCACAGGCTAGCTCCCCAGCAGTGGTCAGGGCAGGGCGGCAGCTTGGGGAGGCACGGGCTTCACCTTTGCCCTGGTCTCAGGAGCTGATGT